GATATTGGAACACTGCTATCATGTCCCCCCTCGTCCTTCTCTTCGTTAAACTAGACATACCCAATTCCAGCAACCGTTCCTTATATGTTTTAGCCTCCAGTCCCCTAATCATCTTTGTTGCTCTTCTCTGTACTCTTTCTAGAGTCTCAGCATCTTTTTTACATCGTGGTGACCAAAACTGGATGCAGTATTCCAAGTGGGGCCTTACCAAGGCATTGTAAAGTGGTATTAATACTTCACGTGATCTTGATTCTATCCCTCTGTTAATGCAGCCCAGACTGTGTTGGCTTTTTTGGCAGCTGCAGCACACTGCTGACTCATATTTAAGTGATTGTCCACTAGGACTGTCCACTAGTGATTGTCCACTAGGATGAAACCCATGACTGGAACATACCACTAAAAAGATTTAAATTGTTCAAAAAACAAATCTAACAAAAGAGGAGGTAGAATACATAAGAAGTAACTACACCTCTACAGAAATGCAAAAAAAAAAAAAAGGAAAAAAAACCTTGTATGCATTTGGGTTAATATAAAAGGAAAAAGGTATGAAATTGCCATAGATGTATACTACAAACTACCCAACCAAGCAGAGAAAATAGATGACGTTTTTATTAATCAGTTAGCTAAGGTGTGTAGGAAACATGCTGCAGTAGTAGTGGGGGACTTTAATTATCCTGACATCAACTGAAAGACCGCCTCTGCACCAAGTGGGAGATAAAACAGGTTCTAGACAACCTTGTTATCCAAAAGGTAAAGGAGAGAGCCAGCAGGTCAGCTATATTGGACTTAATGCTTACTAATAGGGATGAAATGATAGAAGGGGTTGAAGATAATAGAAATACAAGTCAAAATAGGCAAGAAAATGGCAAGAGAACACCTATCCACTCTAGATGAATTCAAATCACCAGGACCAGTTGAACTGCATCCCAGGGTTTTGAAGGAAGATGTGATCTCGGAAACCTGAATCAAATCTTTCAACGCTCCTGGAGCACCGGGAATCTACCAGAGGACCGGAAAAGTATTAATGTGGTTCCCATCTTCAAAAAGGGGGGAAAAAAGGATCCAGGAAACTACAGACCAATCAGCCTGATACCAAAACATGAGAAAATCCTGGAAAATGCCAGACAAATCTGACTCCATTCTGTGACAAAGTGACTAAATTAATTGATCAGGAAAATACTGTAAAGAAAGTTTAGATTTTAGTAAGGCATTTGACAAATTAGTCCATAGCCTACTTCTTGGTAAGATAGAAAACTGTAGGATGGATGTGGATTTTCAACTGGCTGACCAACTAAACTGAATGTGTAGTCCTCAGTAGAACTACATCTCAATGGAGGGAAGAGAAGCATGCAGAGGAATGCCTCAAGGTTCTGTCTTAGGTCCAATGCTTTTCAGTGTCTTCATAAATTATTTAGATTAGGGAATAGAAAGAGAACTCGTCAAATTTGCAGATAACACCAAGCTAAGGGGAATAGCCAATACTTTAGAAAATGGACCCAAGATTCAGAAGGATTTTGACAGACTTGAACACAAATTATATATATATATATATATAATTTCAAGGCCCTGGGAGTGAATGCTAATTTTAAATGGCTGCAAAGGACAGCTATTCCTTTTTTTTTCTGATGATGGTAACACTTCATGGATTAATTTTTTCTCACCAGAACTGTGTAGCAGATAAGAGTTTCTGTCTTTGTTTGATTAGAATAGTGGTTACAGAGAGACAAACTTCTTCATGATACACATTGTCCATACTTTCCAATGCCAATCGTGATTGCTCATGCTGATTTCATGAGGACAGAATTCGCCAAAGTAAATGACAACTTTCTCTCAGTTTTCTGTCATCACAGAAGTTAGGGGAGAAAACGTACTGCAGGACGCAGGTTCAAAGGAAGAGTTCTGATCTTCAGGCTGATCTTGTCTCCTTATGACCATTTTGAAGAAGTTCCTGTTTTCTTCGCAACATAGGAGTGCCACCTTCTGGGATGTTTTTTCAACTTCCCACTCTAGCCCATAGACCTAGTGTAATTTGGACATCCAAATACTAACCAGGCCCATCTTTGTCTTCCTTGCCAGCCCTGACAAAGTCAAGCAGACACTGAAGATTATATCTTCAGATCAGGGGAAAGGAGAGTAAGTATTCCATCTGTGGCTGGCTCTCTGTCCCTAGTGCTTCTTATGCTCACAAGAATAAAAGTACAAATAGTCAATGTTTTTGAGTTGCATCTTCAATGCTTATTTTAAAAGGTAAACCAATGTGATATATAGCATTTCTGCACTAGGTGTTTACAGCATTATTCATATATTGCTGTAGTAATATAAAGCCTGTCTTTGGTAATGATATATTGCTACAACAGTGGCTGGAGTATGTTATAAATCATTAGTACCGTACTTGTCATATTTCAAATATAGAAGCATTGCCCATTAATATAAATACATTTATTAGCAATAATTCAGTTATATGGCATATACAAATAAGCCTTCTGTGAAG